AAAATTACGTGACTTTTAGAATAAAACTGTTTGTAGTTTCATGCTTCAATCATTCGCTAATAATAATAGTGAAAAAAAACTGAAAATAAACCCTAAACGCGGCACCTGTCGTCGAAAGTTTGAGGAAAGTCATACTTTTTCAAAAAAACTGATTTTTTGTTTTAACGCAAAGGTTACACGTTTTTTTTGTCAGGTCTGTACCGCAATTGAGAGGTCATTATCTAAGGTATCTCCCATTGCAATTTGATTCACATATTCTGGGACACCCTGTATGGGTGGTACTTGGGTATCCGCACTAACATTACCGATTTTTGTACAAAATGATTAAATAATCTCCATCTAGCTTTATTGATATATTACGGTGTTAAACATCAAGCCGCACCCATCTCTATAGACATGTTTACGTTAAAACAACTTCCTGGTATTGTGAAATATTGTGAGTTATGCGACTGGGAGCAGTCTCCGACTTCTTGCATCCTCGTGGCTCATTAGATATTTATTTTTTACATGCATTGTCAACAGTCGACTGGCATTTCCTTCAACTCAAATTATTAATACCTTATAATCCCAGAAAAATATTTGATGACTTTTTTAACAAAGGGGCAATGAAACAAAGATCTTCAATAGCTCAAAGGGATCTGACTTTTTGGAGGATCCTGATCATTTCTCAAGAAAATTTATGAGCGAAAAATTTTGATGCATTGTAGACTTATTTCACACATCACAGATTTCCTAGCGATGTTCAATAAGTTCGATACCCTTTTTATAATAAGAACTGTTTTGCTCCTCAAAATAGCCATTAACAGCTTCATCGTTGGAAAATCTTTGACCACTGAGCCATTTTTCCAAGTTTGGAAACAGAAAATAATCCAAGGGGGCTAAATCTGGTGAATACAGTGCATGACGTAGTAATTCAAACTTTAATTCGTTAATTTTGGCCATTGCAATAACGGATTTGTGAACTGGTGCATTGCCTTGATGAAACAACACTTTCTTCTCAACCAAATGGGGCCGTCTTTGCTAGATTTCATCGCTTAAATGTTGCAATAAGTTCGCATAATACTCGCCGTTGATAGTTTTACCTTTTTCAAGATAGTTAATAAAAGCTATCCCACGCGCATCCCAAAAAAACCGACGCCATAACCTTGCCTGCAAATGAAAAGGTCTTCGCCTTCTTTGGAGTCGGTTGCCCCTTTTGGATCCATTGTTTTGATTGTTCTTTTGTCTCGGGTGTGGAGTGATGGACCCATGTTTCATCCATGGTTATGAAACGACGCAAAAATTCTGCTTTGTTGCTGTGAAACTTCGCTAAACACTCAATTGAAACATCTTCACGACACTGTTTTTGCTCGATTGTGAGCAGTCGTGGCACCCATCTTGCACACAGCTTTCTCACGTCCAAATTTTCAGATAATATGCGATGAACCGCACTTTTTGAAATGCCTACTATGTCTGCTAGCTCGCGCACTTTCAGTCGACGATCGTTCAGTACCGCTTTGTGAATTTTCTTCACCATTTCTGGAGTCGCCACCTCATTTGGTCGATCACTGCGATGCTCGTCTTGGCAGCTCCCAATATTTTACTGATGTAAACGAAGGAGCAGACTCACTCAGAGTAGAATCCAGTTCAGCTTTTATATTGGTTGGGCTGAGGCTTTTGAATAAAAGTATTGTACCACATAACGATGACCAATTTTCTCCATTTTCACAAATTCACTGAAAAACGTGGCGTCTCCAAACTTGACACATATGCTTTATAGGTTGCATACTTTCTAATACAATGATATTTCTCAAACAACTATCGCCATCTCTAGGTCAGGCCGGTTACTTCTGGAACCACCCTCGTAACTGACTGGTTTAAATTACGCGCCATTTTTGATACACGCATTTCAGTAGGTGGCGCCATCGTAGTTGTTTAAAGCACATGTGTCGAACTCATCATGAAGCGCTACACGATTCCACAGCATGTCCGTGTTCTTAAAATGTTTTACTTAATTAATGAGACGATTGTCGCAATGCTCGAACTGTGCATACTCTGGAAAATATAGACAGAGTTCGTCAAAGTGTAGTGGAGCGCCCTGAGACGTCTACTAGACATCGTTCTCAAGAACTGGGTATTCGTCGCACGTCATTATGCACTATTTCCCTGTATATTTGCTCTTAAAGCTTTGTAACAAAATATTTTGAGCAGACAGATCGCGTACCTATCGGTCGCACTTGCGGTGCGTCACGGGGTCTTAAATATTGAATCTCTGGTAGTGGGCGTACTTATAAAAGCAGGTAGCAGACGGCGCGGTGACACGTTATGCACATACGAGGTAGGCGCAGTATTATTATATATACTACAAAAATTACTAAAAGCTCTATTGGAAATCTAAAGTTAAAAAAATGGGAGCTTCAATTTAAAAATCTAAAGTGTAACGCTATGTCTTATTTTGTACGGCTATAAATGAAAGATCGTCCCCCTAGAAATCAAAATTGACATGTCCGAGCGTTTTTCCAAGAATATACCAGGAGAGTCACAAATAGAGGTGCTGTATACAGGGTGGCCCATCCATGTGTGGACGAAATATTAATCATAAACAAATACATTTTGGGAAAATCTATTCATGGGATGTTATATACTAAGTGACATATAAATCCGAACACCCAGTTTAAATGGTTTTATTTTAATAAAAGTTGGTGAATGTATTTATCTTACTGTAAATAACAAGTGAAAAAATTTTCAGCCTTATCAGTTGGACATGCCGGTTTTTATACTGCTTTTTTTTAATTCACTGACGCTCTAAAAATGAATATTTCAGCCGCAGTAAGGAATCAACGTTGGCGGATTTTGGTTCTTGACATCCTTCACGATCGGTTACGATGCCTAGAGTACGGAGACCTGTACGATTTCGTCAACTTAGTGAGTTTGATAGGGGCCGTATAGTGGGACTTCGGGAAGCTGGACTTTCTTTTCGGGCAATTGAAGTTAGAGTGCAAAGAAGTGTAGACACTGTGGTTAGGTGTTGTCAGGCATGGCTTCGAGAAGGCCGTACGCAAAGAGCAAGGGGCATTGGACGCCGCCGTAGAACAACAGACCGTGAAGATCGCCGTCTAAGATTATTGGCCTTAAGGGACCGTTTCTCCACTACCAGGTCCATTGCAAATGAATGGTTTGCAGAACACGGAAGACCTATTGGCATGCGAAGTGTTTACCGACGAATGAGAAGTTTTGGCTTGTTTTCATACCGGCCACACTGGGTCCTCCCTTTAACTCGAGAACACCGACGTAATCGCCTTGAGTGGTGCAGACAACGGTCACTCTGGGATCAGGAATGGAACAGTATTGTCTTTAGTGACGAGTCTCGATTTTGTTTAGGCATGCACGATGGTCGTGCCTGGGTTAGAAGGCAACGTGGTGAAAGGAGGAATCCACAGTTTTTTGTTGAAAGAAATGTTCATCACATTGTTGGAGTTATGGTTTGAGGTGCTATAGCTTATGGTTCCAGGTCACCTTTAATCTTCATCAGAGGTATCATGAACGCGCAGCGTTATATCCACGAAGTTCTAGAACCCCATCTTTTACCCTATCTTGACACCCTGGCAGATCCAACTTTCCAACAAGATAATGCCCGACCACATGTTGCAAGAGTCACAATAAACTTCTTTCAACATAATGATGTCACATTGTTACCATGGCCACCAAGATCTCCCGACTTATCCCCAATTGAGCACGTGTGGGATATGATGGGTAGGAGATTGCTCAATTTGCAACGTCCTCCTCAGACTCTAAAAGCACTTCGAGAGGAGTTGGTGGTTGCCTGGAATGAGATACCACAGGAGGACATTGACCACCTGATCAGAAGCATGCCTAGGCGCGTTGGAGAATGCGTAGCACATCAGGGTGCATCCACACATTATTAAAGGTCAAAGGGCTTTAAAGCAGTGCAATCATTTTGAAATTTCATTTTATCATTTACTTATTATGCTTCATTAAGTACTTATGCAAAATTTTATCAAAATAAAACCATTTAAACTGGATGTTCGGATTTAAATGTCACTTAGTATACATGACATTTGAGGGCACATTTATAACATATTGGCCATTGTACAGGGTGTCTCAATTTTGACCTACCTATCAAAGTTGTGATTTTTCAAATGGAATGCCTCAAATTTTATTGCATATTTGTAACTAATCAACAATTTATTTGTTCCCAAGGATGATGCGACATTTTAGGGAATTAAGCCGTTCCATAAAAGACGTGCTAATAACCGAAAAAGTAGCCATAAAACCCTTATGTGTCTAGTATCAAAAAAATCTTATAAAAAAATTGCACAAATATACAAGGTGATGCATTTGAAATTTTTGAGAAAAACTACCATTTCCGTTTTTGACCACCCTGTATGAGCAAAAATTAAAATTCGAAAATGTAACAAATAGGGTAAAAGCTGAGGTGTGTAAGTTTTTTTTGATACAAAATTCAACGCTCCAAATTTCAAAATGGCGGACTGAGGGGTTGCCGAAGTGGGGGGTTTTTCTAGACAAAACATCTTATATCTCAGTAGCTAATTACCAAAACCCCATAGTATGTTATATCAATCTTTTTCATTTGAATTGGTTTATCGAAATATGCAATAAAATTTGAGGCATTCCATTTAAAAAATCCCAACTTTGATATGTAGGTCAAAATCGGGACACCCTGTATAATTGCCAATATTTTAGAAATGTGACCTCAAATGTCATGTATAACATGCCATAAATAGATTTTCCCAAAATGAATTTGTTTATGAGTAATATTCCGTCCACACATGGATGGGCCACCCTGTATAGTACATATAATGTATATGGTATATAAGTACGTATCAAGCGCTATTATAATCAGTTGCTAGAGATTGTTGACAAACAGACCTACATCTTTTTCATGCCATTGCACTATAAGGAAAATTGTACTAGGCGTTTTTTAAGGAAGGCCTGGAAGGTACAGAATCAATCTACTTGACGCGACCTTTTTTTTTCAGAGATATAAGCTGGAGCCAACTGGAGCGCCAGGCAGAAGAACCAGTACTTCACGTGGGAGTACGACAAAACGGCCAGTTGGTGACCGGGGAGCTGAACGTATCGCCGGGCACGCCCCTTCAGATGGAAATCTTTCTCGATGAGAAATCGGCACCCCTATACGGCCTGCTAGTCACCCACATGCAAGTCACAGATACCAAATCGCAAGAAGAAACCATCATCTACAACGGGTAAGCAAAAATTAAAGGTAGACGGTGTTTCCAAACCATGAGGTAAAACTTACTGGATTTTTCTAAGGCTGCTTTGGCCTTTCGTAGCAATTTTCAAGATACCGCCTTATTTTGAATAAACAAGGTGGACAAAATGTTCATGAAATAATGTTTTCTATTAGATTTATTCTTAAAACTTACATGACATATTGCAACCTAAGGCCTTATAAGATAAATTCTTCAACTACATCTTTGAAGTTGTCCGATTTTTTGTTGCCTAGAAAGTTGCTACGTTCAATTTGGAAGGTGTCCGACGCCCTTTTTTTCTTTCTCGAAAGTGTGGTCTTAAAATGTTGGTCCTTAAAAGGTTCTCGTATTTGAGGTCCAACGAAAATTCCTTCTATAAACTTTACTTCACGTATACGGGGGAATTTCCGTGCCAAACAAAGGAATTTCGAACATCTGGTATTTTCTAGAACCAGCGGGAATCAAGGAATCGGAAACGATTCTTGTATACATGGGTCATTCAATATTTATTTATTTATTTATTTATTTATAATCCATACACTGCCTGAACAGAGTGTTCCAATTAACAGGCAGGGAAAAAACAAAAAGTGATACAAAAACAAAAATGTAAGCAGTATAAACATAAACATAAATTATCCAATTGTTAAAAATAAACTCTTGAGATTGATTTTGGAGGTACTAAACGTATCAAGTTCACTTACACTGTCACAGACATTACACATAACATAAAGAGGAGAAAATAACAATAAATTTGTCCGCGGAACAGGTAAATAAAATGAATTGTTACCACCATGACGAGTACGCAAATCGGGAACGCGTAGAGAGATCCTGTCTAAAAGAAAAGGGCAATCAATTGTTCCATTCAACAAATTACATAAAAATTTAGCAGCTAACAGATTCCTACGTTTGACTAAATTAGATAAATTATACCTACTTAAGAGAATGTCATTGCGTATACCTCTTTCAGGGTACGCTCTATCATCTTTAAACCATAAGTATTTCACAAAACGACGTTGGATTCTCTCGATGTTTCTACAGTGTATATCATAGGCCGGGTACCAGATAATCGAACAGTATTCTAAAATAGATCTGACAAAAGCATTAAAAAGTAAAATTAATGTATTATTATTATTGAAATGTCTACTGTTTCTTATAACAAATCCTAGATTTTTAAATGCTTTTGCTATTATTGCATTAATGTGATCAATAAAAGAAAGCTTTTGATCGAATAATACTCCCAAATCCTTGACGATATTAACACGACAAAGAACATTGCTACCGATTTCAAAATTAAAACATCTTGGTTCCACCCTACGTGTAATCGTCATAGTAGTACATTTATTGACATTCAAGTGCATGTTATTTACTTTACACCAGTGATCAATGACATTCAAATCAGCTTGTAACTTTAAACTGTCTTCTGAGCAACAAACGCTATTAAAAATTTTGAGGTCATCGGCATATAGCAAGTACTCACAACGCAAGTCTGTTATAACATCATTTATAAAAATTAAAAATAATAGGGGACCCAGAACAGAACCTTGAGGCACCCCTGATGTAGCTAAAACCGCACCAGACTTATATCCACGGAAGTCCACACATAATTGTCTATCACTGATGTATGAATGAAAGAAAGCTAAGAATCTAGATGTTAAGCCGTACTTAGACAACTTCTGCAATAGAACACCGTGATCCAAACGGTCGAAAGCTTTCGAAAAGTCAGTATAGACTACATCAACTTGCCCGCCATTATCCAGAACTGATGCGGAGTACTGCTTAAAACATGCCAAATTACTACACGTAGATCTACCCTTATAGAAACCATGTTGACTCGTCGATATTGACCGACTTACATGAGAGAACAAAATATCAAAAAGAACAAACTCAAAAATTTTGGCAATATTACTTAAAATAACAATAGCCCTGTAATTCTCTACCTGCGATCGATCGCCTTTCTTAAAAACAGGTGTTATTTTAGACAATTTCCATTTTCTAGGAAAGGTGGAAGATTTCAAGGACAAATTGAAAAGATATGTCAAAGGTTCAGCAAGAACACACGCACAGTCTTTTAGAAAAAATGAAGGTATGGAATCCAAGCCAGTGGAACATTTAGGCTTTAATCGTTTCATTGCATTCCGTACATGCTCTACATTAATAGTCACTAAAGGAAGATACGATATATTTACTGTAACGGAACAATCAGCAGATGGTTGAGAAGACGTGATGTAGGTGGACTGGAAATACTTGGCAAAAGTATCAACAATTTCCTGTGGATTCCTGAACTCCTCATTTTCCAAAGACATATTGTTGGGTATGCCTGATCTGTTGCTGCGCAAGTTAACAAAGGACCAAAATTGATTGGGGTTTTGCGCAAGGGCACGCTCAGTCCTCGCAACAAAATTAGAAAACGCCAGGTCTATATCAATTTTGATGGCTCTTCGCAGGTTACTGAAAGCTTCATAGTCAGATCTAACCAAAGTACTCTTGTATCGCTTCCAGAGGCGATGCTTTTTTGATATTTTAAAGATTATTGCACGAGAAAACCAGGGAGGGTATCTGTTATCCTTTGGTAATGTGCATGGAACGTGCCTATCGAAAACGTCATACAATTTACTATAAAACAGGTCACAAGCAATATTAATGTCGAGGATGTCCGATGGAAAAGAGAAATCTGAATCCATAACAGTGGTGTAGAGTGCAGGAAGATCTGCTTTCCTAAAGTTATATTGCGGATTATTATTATTTGGGCGTACGTTATTCAGAGAACGCGGAAGTGAAAAGAGCGCTTCTATCGGAGGATGGTGCCTATCAACTGGTAAAAGAATATCAGATGCATTTCTCACATGAACATAATTATTACAGAAGACTAAGTCCAGTATACGATCATATTCGTTACGAATACGATTGTATTGGGCTAAATTAAAGAAACTGCTCATACTAGAGATAGCATATAAGTAGTTATCATTGTAAGAATCATCCCACATTTTATTCACGTAACTGGGAATGTTGAAATCCCCAAGAAAAATAACAAAATCATTTGGACCAAAAAAATCAATCGCCAAAATGTCATCAACAAAAGATTCAAAAGCATCTAGGTGCATATTAGGAGGAATATAAGCGAGGATAACGTAGATAGCATTACGAGCAAGCTGAATCTTAATCCCAACAATATCAATTTCTAAAACTGAAGATGCAATGGTTACTTCATGTGCCTCATATACCTTACTAATCGCTAATAAAACACCACCTCCCCTAGTTTGGCCAGTTTGTACATATTTTCTATCTGATCTAAATACACAATAATCACTACTCATAAACTCTGCATCATTAATACTATCATCTATCCAAGTTTCAGTCAAAGCTAACAAATCGTAAGAACTAGCATATGAAGCATTTAATAGCGTGTTCAGCTTAGTTTTTATCCCTCTGACATTTTGGTAATATATAGAGAAATCCGTCTGATTAAGTGCAACAGAATCATCAACATTCACATAAGTTGGCTCTAACTGTTTACAAGATAGTTGCTATATATCACCAATAATAGATTTTTTATATTCTGCCAGTTTCTTCATATACAAAGTGCAGTTGTCTGCATCCCAAGCAGCATGATTCGAATTTGGAAGTCGAGCATTGACACAATTGATACATTTCAAAGAGGCCGACCTACACTCAGATAATTTATGATCTAAAGAGCATTTTACACAAACTTGAACTTTGCTTTTACAATTTTTAGCGTAGTGATTGTGCCCACAACATTTAAAACACAACCTCAGACTGATTGCATCATATACAATGCAGCTTTCAAAATTAACAATCAGATTGCCTCGACTAAGAATACTCGAGTATGTAGCAATGTCAACATCTAGAATAGCTTGAAAAACATCACCTGACTTCTTAGTTGGCCACACTTTTAACACAGTACATTCACTATCATTTTGAAATACACTATTCTGAGACTTCAGTATAACACTGAGCTGTTCTTTGTCAATACACTCAGACATTCCTACAATTTTCAAACGGGGGTTAAACTTCCTCACTTCCTTGACTTCATAATCATCAGCAAGGTGCAATGAAGCCAACTCCTTCAATTTGCTGGCATCTTCAGATCCATCACACTTTATAAGTAATCCCCCATTTTTTATGTTTTTTACTTGAGAAAATTTAATGTTATTAGTTACCGGATCAACAGACTGACGCATCTTAAGTCTTGTCGCTGCATGAGGCTGATCGTTGTTTTTTGGCTTAACAATTAAATTCACATTTTTTTTCAAAATGTTTGCATATGAAGCATCCGTCGCAGGCATCCTTCTTAAGGTATCTTGATCAAACTGTTCATCAATCTTGTTTATTAGAACAGATTTTGCTTCGTTAAATGACTCATGGATATTGGAAATAAGTGCATCGACCTTTTTATTTATCCTAGTAGACACAAAATCCAAATCCGTTCTTTTATTAACGCAGGATGGGCAAAACCAAAATAAACCAGGTGTTTTAATTACCTTCAATACGTCATATGGAATTCCCATACAAGAAATGTGAAAAAACTGATCGCAAAAACCACTGCACGATATACCTGGCTTGGAACGGTTTACCAGCGACTGGCATTCTGCACATTTATCGGCCATAATTGATTGAAGAAAGCAGTTCACTTCATTAAAAAAAAAAAAAAAGTATACAACGACAACTAACGCGTTACTACGCTCACGCACATGTAAATTGGAGAAAAAACGCACGTTATTACCATTTAAAATCACCAAAAACTAAGAGCACACAGTAAACACGTCTGTCTTTGTTTTCTGACGAAATCGTAAGTAACGAAAGCACTGCTATGAGGAGTGGAAAACCGTCTTCAGTGACAACAGACCCGTGACGTCACCACGAGTAGGCCGGTCGGCCGGCCGACAGCACGGCGTGCCGTACATCAAATTTTATTGAAAATTACACTGATCAACAGCTAAAAAATATCCTAAATAAAATCAACAAAATATTACTATTTTTAATGTGCTAAAACCGGAATGAAACTTATTTTTTCAATATTAGTTCAAGTTTTAGAGATACGGTAATTATATGTGTTCCTGCTGTGACAGTGTTAATATACTGTAATTCACAAGAATGCACGTGCTACATTTTTATATTCGGCAAGGAAAGATGATGTAATCGGCATGATTGTGTTACGTTATACATACGTGTACATTATATTGTTTTATATTAGCCATTTTTTCCTCAGTTGGCTGACAGCGTTGATGCAAGATGTCTCGAAAGTGTGTAAACAATCCAGATCAGTTTTGTTACTTGTGTGGTGATGTGACTTTTGCGTCTCAGAGACGATCTATTACTCCACTAATAACAAAGGCATATCTGCTTTATTTCGGTTGTAAAGTAGGTGATCAAGACAAATAGTGGGCACCCCACATCTGCTGTAATACATGTGCTTCAAGTCTGAGGAGCTTTGCTGTCCCAATGGTTTGGAGAGAGCCTACAAATCATATTAATGATTGTTACTTTTACATAGTACCTTGTGTTGGACAAGCCACAGGTATGTCCAAGAAAAAAGAATCGGTTATCTACCCAAACATACCATCTGCGATGAGACCTGTGCCTCACAGTGACGAAAATCCTATTCCAAAACCCCCAGAATCCTCCACTTGCGAATCAGAAAACGAATCAGATCATGGCGATCGAGTGATTCGTCAGGAAGAAGATATGCCATCAACGTCAAGAGATCCTGATTTTATACTGAGCACGTCATGCCACCAACCGCACAAAATAACACATTCAGAACTAAATGATCTTGTAAGGGATTTAGAACTTCCAAAATGTAAGGCAGAGTTACTTGGATCAAGACTGCAACAGTGGAACTTGTTAGAAGACGATGGTTCGGTATGTGTTTTTCGTAAACGCCACAAAGACTTAGAACCATTTTTCAATATGGAGAATAACTTGGTCTTCTGGAGTAACATTAACGGCTTACTGGCAGCTTTAAATATAAACTATAACCCAGAAGAATGGAGATTGTTTATAGACAGTTCAACATTGAGTTCAAAGGCAGTGTTATTCCTTTTTTTAAATATTTTACCATCTCTTCCTGTAGGGTATGCAGTTCACATGAAAGAATCATATGACAATATGAAGTACCTATTGACATGCATAAAATACGATGAGCACCAATGGCATATTTGTGGCGATTTGAAAGTTGTTGCACTTTTACTTGGGCTGCAGCTAGGCTACACAAAGTTTTGCTGTTTTTTGTGTGAATGGGACAGTCGGGCAAAGGCACTTCATTACACCAGACAAAACTGGCCTGTTCGTCAATTCCTAGAGCCAGGTCAAAAAAATGTACAGCATATGCCATTAGTAGATTCGAAAAAAATTTTATTACCACCACTGCATATCAAGTTGGGCCTAATGAAAAACTTTGTCAAGGCATTAGATAGAGATGGGTCAGCTTTTCAATACCTGCGTCAGAAATTTCCAAGACTAAGTGAGGCAAAGGTTAAAGAAGGTATTTTTGTTGGGCCACAGATTCGAAATATTTTGAAAGATACACAGTTTGAAAACACTTTAACAGGTATTGAAAAAACTGCTTGGAATGATTTCCGTCTGGTGGTCACTAATTTCTTGGGAAATAGAAAAGCTGACAACTATAAAACCCTTGTCAAAAATATGCTGTCATCGTATCAAAAGATGGGCTGTAATATGTCTCTTAATATACATTTCCTACACTCACACCTGGACTTTTTTCCTGACAATTGCGGAGCCGTAAGTGATGAGCACGGGAACGTTTTCATCAGGATATTTCAACAATGGAAAAAAGGTACCAGGGAAAGTGGAATCCTTCCATGCTTGCACACTACTGATGGACTCTTGGTAGAGATGCTCCAGAAACGATCCATAAAAGAACAGCAAAAAGACAGCGCATATAGTGATTCTTATAATTATATGAATCTTGTTACTATTTTTAATATATCCTTAAAAATAAAAAGTTTTTTTCTAAACCGCAACTAATTTTTTTATTTCATTGTCATTTTTGGATTCAGCGCCCCAAAATTAACAAATAAGTGCACTTTTCCCACAAGATACAATTAAAAAACTAAAATTTGTTATTATATAACTTGGCATGACAATATTAATAACTGGATCCTTTGGGAATTTTAAGCCACCTCTACTCGAATTCTGTATAATATTGTGCTTGTCTTCTATATCAATTGCAATGAGACATCTTTTACGACAGTTTTGGTTCAATGGAAACGAAAATACGTGTACCTTCGGACCCTTCCCGTAATTACCGTCACAATTAGGAACGCAGCACTTGTAAGGCATTTTGAAAACTTAGCTAAACAATCGCGAGACACAAATATAAGTTTAAAACATCAATAACTTTCAGTTTACATAGCATTGAAAGATGAGGCTCAGAATGTGAGGTTAGTCGGCAAGGTTGCCACATATTCCAATTTTGAATGGAATATTAGACTTCACAAGTGACAGATTGAACGTAATATCGAAAATGTATTCTTGACATACTGAGGCAGATCAGAAAGAATAATCACATCATCACTGAAGCTGCACAGGCCCCGAGTACATCTTGCAAATTCGCCCACAGAGAGGCACAACTAATTAGTAGAGATTTCGATACTGCTATATCAAACCTAGATACGACAACACCGCAGAGAAATGGTGGCGCGGTTCTCTTGCCAGCCAGTCATCGCGAAACTCCATAAGAACATGCATGTGTGACATCACAGGCTTTTCAGAGCCCAGTTGTTTGGCCTTGTACTCTCGGTGGTAACGCTTCAGCGCTGTGTGGCTTCAGAAGAAAGTCATATAAAATTGTAATCATATTTAAAAAAAAATAAGAAAATCCAGTCTCATCACTTAATTCACAGACCTCGTAGCGTAGCCTTTGGCGTTCCCAACCGCATATTTCTTTATACACACTTAGCTTAATTTTTACAAAATTACAGATGCTCAGTGGACCCGTACCTGTTCGAGAACTTCAACACTGTAGACGGGGACTTCCTCTCCGCAAAATTCCGTGCATTCAAATTCCCAGAATCCACCTACGTGCAGTTCAAAGGAACAGTCAACGTGTGTCTGGATAAATGTCAAGGGGTAAGGCCAGTTTGATAGACTAGTCAAGAAGAAAAAAATCAACGTACAACCGTGAAGTAAATGAAGGCTTTTATATTCTTTATCAATGTCCTGCAGGCTTGAGATAGTTTTTATAGCTTACTTATGGTAGAGGGCGTTCCTAGCTAACGAATGAGCGGCTGGTCAGTTGTCTCCGAGCACTTGGAGAGTCAGGACAGGCGACTATTTTTTAAATCGACCCCGTCCTATTACTTTCCGGACAAACCATGTATGTCAACTCACTTAATGTTAACCCAGAAGAACATAGAATAAAAAATATGACAGCGTTCAATGTATGGCTTCTGCTTCAGACCTCAATTCCGAAGCTAATGTATAATAAAAATACCGTTTTTACTATCCAAAGTCTAATTTATCTCAATTATAAACTAGTGCAACTAATGTCGACAGGATTGTGTTGTCACATCGGTCACTGTTCGTTGACTGTCTCGACTGTGACTGGCTCTTCCGCCATCTGGTCGGGTATTTATTCCCCTATCGACGAGTCGAGAAACATTCCAGCGTTTTTCGGCCGAGTCACGAACTTTCAAGTGATCCGACGTCTGGCTGTCTTCTAGTTGATGTACGAGGGTCTCTCGCTGGTAGCCAGAGTTCCAGTTATACGAGGGCGTTACTAGCACTGCTAGTTTTATTCTGCCAAGCTGATGAAGATGTGACATTCTTTATGGCGTATAGCTGACGGTGAAATTTTAGTATGTTGTTGTCCAAGCCAATCTAATCCTAATCGTATGTCCAAACCTCAAAAAGGTATGAATTTACGACCCACACCAACGTGCTTTTATGGCTTATTAGAGCATTAATTAGGAACTTAGTCACTACTATAATACACATCTTCTGGATGTCTGCGATGTCAGGCAGATTGTTTTTTTTTTATCAGGTTAGTATGGCGAACAACGCAGAAAAATTTCAGCCAATTTGACCGAGAGCCTTCTTCTCCAATTCAACGGTTGACTGAACTACGAAAACAAGTTTGATGTGTATGTTTTATGTAACAAAGATAGTTTACCGTAGAACTCGGCTGTATTATGAGAATTCTTGCATAAAATACGAAGCAACGTATTCTCGTGCAAACGTGATGGGAATGTTTTTAGCCGTAAACATTAGTATTGTATTAGGATGGTATATAGTACCGCATATACTAAGAAGCACATACCTGACGAGTCACACGAACAGGAGTTGCATGTTTTTGTTCCAAAGTAGCAGATGACCAGAATTTATAGAAATGCCTCACATTGTTATAGATAGAAATGTTACACCCAGAAAAAAATAATTCCTCAACTTGATTTTTTTGTCAATGATGTAGACTTACATATTGTTACAATATAAATATAATCGATATTGACACATGTATTTACGTAATAATCCCTTATGAGGCCTTGCTACTCTCCTATACAGGGTGTTTCAGTTTATTGTTGCATAACTTTAAGATTCGATAGAACTTTTAAAATTAATGCATAAAGTCTATATAAACATGGGTCGAAAAATGCGTGGCTTCCGAAATACAGGGTGCTTAAATTTACTTTTTAAAACAGTTTTTTTTTAAATATTTCGAACAATATTTGATGTATAACAGTGAAAATTGGTATACAGGGGTTTTTTGATACGACAAAACGAACCATGGGCATAGTTTTACTGTAGCCGCTAGAGGGCGCTCTCTACTGTGCCTGTAGTGTATAGAAATGACCGAAAAATTTTTCCTAGTGCAATTTTTTGCTTTTTGAATAAAAAAACTGATTCTTCGCACTTTTCAACATAAAAAAGCTCTCTTGTGAGTTGTCGTTATAGTTAGCCGTTTTTGAAATATTTCGATTTTTAAGGTTCGATGCATTTTTAATTATTTATGGGAAAATAATATTTTTTTTTTACATTTTCTATTTGGGCATTACAAGTAATTAAGATGATCGTTTAGATTGTGTTTTTAAACACAGCAATAATTCGTAACTCCAAATAAACACAAAAAAACAGAATATTAATTTGTTTAATTTTCCAATATTATTTTTAACAAATTAAATTTATTATTTACAACTAAAATGCTATTGGATAGTTAGGACAAACATACAAAATCTAAAGTAGTTGCTCGAAATGTAAACCCAATTGTTCAATACACAATTCACATCTACGAATGATCGAACGTGGTATAGCATTATTCAAATAAGGCCTTATTTCATCACATGCATCCCTGATTCTGTCTATTAGCATAGCTCTTGTAGTTACGGGAGACTGTTACACTTTTTCTGTTAGAAATCCACACACAAAGAAATCTAATGGATTTAGGTCAGGGGATCGTGGAGGCTAGGCGACTGGTCCTCCACGGCCGATCCATCTTTCTGGATAATTTTCGTCCAGCCAGTTTCTAACTATTCTCGAATAATGAGCTGGACAACCATCAAGCTGAAACCAGGCCAATCTTCTTAAATCTAACATAACATCATCCCACATATTTGCATGTTCAGCCTTTAAAAATTCCAAGAAGGTCGCAGCATTTAACCGTACAGGCAAAAGGTAGGGTCCAAATAGTCGATTACGGTAGATACCAATCCACACGTTCACACTAAATTCATGCTGAAAATTTCTTTCCCGAACTGCATGCGGAATTTCATGCGACCAAATATGTTGATTATGAAAATTTACCACTCCACGTCTAGTGAAGCATGACTCATCGGTCCATAAAACGTTACTTAAAAACTCCCTATTATTATCAGTTCTATCAAGAATCCGCTGACAAAATGTGATTCTTCGTTCTCCGTCCCCTGGATGTAGTCCTTGCACAGGTTGCAAATGGTAAGGACGACTATGGTCATTTCTAAGAACACGGTGAACATGGCTTGCTGAAATTCCCAAGGCACCAGAAACTCTCCTAACACTTGTGGTCGGATCTCTATCAAACTCACGCAGAATCATACGGGTAAATCTGCGCTGACGAACATTTATGTTTTGATCCCGTTGGAGATTTCCAAAACCATTTTCAATTATTTGGCGATGCTACGTTTCCATTTACAAAGCCATACACAAAATGAATATCCGCTAACTCTTGATTGTAGAATAAACATGGCATTTTTATAAAACTTACAAAAAAAACTGGTAAAAGAAACTAAATTTCGTGCATTCACAATTGCAAAAAATCGTTTCAGGTTTCAACAGGCAACAAAACTAACTGTCAACTAATTGCGTTTAACCTTATTCTGCTTTCAATTTAAAAATATTTGCAGGCACAGACTACTTCTAAAAATTATCGGGATACTGACTTTTTAACGTTATTTTATCATAAATAATTAAAAATGCATCGAACCTTAAAAATCGAAATATCTCAAAAACGGCTAATTATAACGAAAACTCACAGGAGAGCTTTTTTATGTTGAAAAGTGCAGAGAATCAGTTTTTTTATACAAAAAGCAAAAAATTGCACTAAGAAAAAATTTTCGGTCATTTTAATACACTACTGGTACAGTAAAGAGCGCCCTCTAGCGGCTACAGTAAAACTATGCCCACGGTTCATTTTGTCGTACCAAAAAACCCTTGTATACCAATTTTCACTGTTATACATCAAATATTGTTCGAAATATTTAAAAAAAACTATTTTAGAAAGTAAATTTCAGAAGCCACGCATTTTTCAACCCATGTTTATATAGACTTTATGCATTAATTTTAAAAGCTCTATCGAATCTTAAAGTTATGCAGCAATAAACTGAAACACCCTGTATATTTCATTTTTCGTACCGTACACATTCAGTAACTGTTCTTGTATGAAACTTGAAGATCATTAAAACGTTACAGCGCAATTTAAAGGTGCTGTTGAAATATCTGACTTATAACTTATGAATAAATATTGTACGTTAAATCATACAACTCGATAGTTTTAGCAATCCAAATAAAAAAAATTTCACGACTCGCCTTGCGAATAATTTCGCAATGTTATTAAGCCTGTTTGTATGGATTCAAATAAAATACTAAACTGATGATCTTTTTCGAACAGGTGGAATGCAGTGATGGCTCTGTTGGTTTCGGGCGACGACGAAGAGCCCTTGCAGAACTGCCAGCAGACCCCAACAAGATCTTCGAAATCACCATCACCTCTTTCATCAAAGTTGGCAACGACAAATCCGATCCTGAAGAGTTGACCAATCAAAAGCCATATAGCAATAAGAAGTTATTTATTGGAGATCAAATGACTGACATCAAAGGTAACTTAACTTTCTCTGTCAATTTGAAAGAGCCAATACTTTTTTTAAGATTCTTCATGATACCAATCACCACAAATTTTTACGAGGTGTGTTCAGAAAATAAGGTGGGATTTTTAAATTTCGCGGGTTTGGCTCCAATGTCATTTTATTTTATTATGTTGGTATACATGCTCCTGAAGTAAGATACAATTTGCAACTCTAATTGTTGTTCAGTTTGTCTGTGGCAGCCGCTAAGGTTAGAAATGGATTAACGAGTGTTTATCAAATTTTGCGTAGAAAATAAAAGAAAGTGTATCATAGTGCGTGACATGTTAACAAATGAATGTGAATCTGCTATGCGTAAAACAAGAGTTTACGGGTAGTATAAGTGTTACCTAGTTAGCCGTGAAGACGTTAAACGAACACCCCAGCACATCAACAACCGGAAAAAGTAAAACAAATGATTACAATCAGAGAAGTAGCTGACGATTGGCTCATACCATGAAGTTGTTTCGAATGTTCTGGATAAGAAACGCGTACCAGCAAACTATTTTTTTCAAATGATTGGATTTTGAACAAAAACAGCGGCGAATGGAAACTGCTCAGGAGTCACTAAATGAAGGCAACAACAATTCCGAATTACTGAAAGTGTTTTAATAGCTGACAAAACGTGGGTTTATGGATATGACGTCAAAAGTAAGGTGCATTCGTCCCAATAGAAGCATCCTGGCTCGCAAAGGCCAAAAAAGGCTCGTTCAGTCAAAACTGAAGTTTATGATCACTGTGTTCTCCAATTTTAATGAGATTCTTGCCACGAGGTCAAACGGTGAATAAAAAGTACTACCTGTGAGTTCAAATTGTCTCAAAAAATGCCTGCTCACGCTCCATTGCTTGATGCCCCACCCTCCATATTCGCCAGAAATGGGTCCGTGTAACTGTTTCCTATTTCCAAAAAAAGGTGGTCATTGTTCTACAGGCACAGTTGACTTTAGGATTCGAAGAAGCGCTGGTAGAATTGCATAATAACTAATGTTCAAGGCCACATCAATAATTTTTTTTTCAAAAAACAAAACTTCCAGTTATTTTCTGAACTCACCACGTAAATACACGTTGAAGCTTAAAAGGTAACGAATCAAGTCATTTTCTATAGTCGTCTATATTGGGATGATTGAACTGTGTCGAAGTGCCAATTTTTTTAATGTATCCGTAAAAGTCTTAGGAATAAGTATGTGGAAATGGTTCTGTAAATACCATACACTAAAAAATCTGTGTTTGAATGGTCTTCACTTTTACATTCGAATTTAAGGATTTCCACAACCGTTAAAGACGAAATCAACACACAAAGTCTTCAACTTTCGATAGATTGATAACGTATTTCCGTCATGTTCACTACACTACAGGGTGTTTTCAAAGTTGAGTCGTTTATTTTAACTGCTTGTAGGACTCGACAAAAGAAGTTGATATGCCAAAAATCACCTATATAAAAGTTGGTTAAAACCCTTTCGTCCCTGAATTCAAAGACCTCAGTCCAAATAATAAATAGTGTAAAATATACTAAGTGACATATAAATCCGAACACCCAGTTTAAATGGTTTTATTTTAATAAAATTTTGTATAAGTACATAATGAAGCATAATAAGTAAATGATAAAAATTTCAAAATGATTGCACTGCTTTAAAGCCCTTTGACCTTTAATAATGTGTGGATCCACCCTGATGTGCTACGCATTCTCCAACGCGCCTAGGCATCCTTCTGATCAGGTGGTCAATGTCCTCCTGTGGTATCTCATTCCAGGCAACCACCAACTCCTCTCGAAGTGCTTCTAGAGTCTGAGGAGGACGTTGCAAATTGAGCAATCTCCTACCCATCATATCCCACACGTGCTCAATTGGGGATAAGTCGGGAGATCTTGGTGGCCATGGTAACAATGTGACATCATTATGTTGAAAGAAGTCTATTGTGACTCTTGCAACATGTGGTCGGGCATTATCTTGTTGGAAAGTTGGATCTGCCAGGGTGTCAAGATAGGGTAAAAGATGGGGTTCTAGAACTTCGTGGATATAACGCTGCGCAATCATGTTACCTCTGATGAAGATTAAAGGTGAGCTGGAACCATAAGCTATAGCACCCCAAACCATAACTCCAATAGTGTGATGAACATGTCTTTCAACCAAAAACTGTGGATTCCTCCTTTCACCACGTCGCCTTCTAACCCTGGCACGACCATCGTGCATGCCTAAACAAAATTGAGACTCGTCACTAGAGACAATACTGTTCCATTCCTGATCCCAGAGTGACCGTTGTCTGTACCACTCAAGGCGATTACGTCGGTGTTCTCGAGTTAAAGGGAGGACAGAGTGTGGCGGGTATGAAAACAAGCCAAAACTTCTCATTCGTCGGTAAACACTTCGCATAGGTCTTCCGTGTTCGGCAAACCATTCATTTGCAATGGACCTGGTAGTGGAGAAACGGTCCCTCAAGGCCAATAATCTTAGGCAGCGATCTTCACGGTCTTTGCGTACGGCCTTCTCGAAGCCATGCCTGACAACACCTAACCACAGTGTCTACACTTCTTTGCACTCTAACTGCAATTGCTCGAAAAGAAAGTCCAGCTTCCCGAAGTCCCCTTCAAGAAAAAGAAAATTATATGGTGCATCAGCATTACATCTTCCTGTGGAGGTATCAACAAGAAGAAGATCCACTAGATGTTCTGAAGAGAAAAGACAAACAAGAACAAAACTCTTTGCGAGGCGTGCAATATTCCGTTGTGCAAGTTCTGTTTTATGTTGTATCATACCAAGGTTCATTCATTTTCCACTTTGCAAAGCTGTTTTTGTATTTTTTTCTAAGTAAATATTCTTATACCATTGTTTTTTCTGTTTTTATGAATTTTCCGATCATACCTGTTGGTACGCATGTGTACCACCATAAATACCGGATGGTACATATATGTACCACATGAATATTACACGCAAAAACACAAAAATAAAACATAGTTTTGACCTACCTTTGTAAAAACACTAATTCACTGGACAACAAATTTTAGTTTTTTAATTGTATCTTGTGGGAAAAGTGTTAATTTTGGGGCGCTGAATCCAAAAATGACAATGAAATAAAAAAATTAGTTGCGGTTTAGAAAAAAAACTTTTTATTTTTAAGGATATATTAAAAAAAGTAACAAGATTCATATACTTATGAGAATCACTATATGCGCTGTCTTTTTGCTGTTCTTTTATGGATCGTTTCTGGAGCATCTCTACCAAGAGTCCAACAGTAGTCTGCAAGCATGGAAGGATTCCACTTTCCCTGGTACCTTTTTTCCATTGTTGAAATATCCTGATGAAAACGTTCGCCGTGCTCATCACTTACGGCTCCGCAATTGTCAAGAAAAAAGTCCAGGTGTGAGTGTAGGAAATGTATCTTAAGAGACATATTACAGCCCATATTTTGATACGATGACAGCATATTTTTGACAAGGGTTTTATAGTTGTCAGCTTTTCTATTTCCCAAGAAATTAGTGACCACCAGACCGAAATCATTCCAAGCAGTTTTTTCAATACCTGTTAAAGTGTTTTCAAACTGTGTATCTTTCAAAATATTTCGAATCTGTGGTCCAACAAAAATACCTTCTTTAACCTTTGCCTCACTTAGTCTTGGAAATTTCTGACGCAGGTATTGAAAAGCTGACCCATCTCTATCTAATGCCTTGACAAAGTTTTTCATTAGGCCCAACTTGATTTGCAGTGGTGGTAATACAATTTTTTTCGAATCTACTAATGGCATTTGCTGTACATTTTTTTGACCTGGCTCTAGGAATTGACGAACAGGCCAGTATTGTCTGGTGTAATGAAGTGCATTTGCCCGACTGTCCCATTCACACAAAAAACAGCAAAACTTTGTGTAGCCTAGCTGCAGCCCAAGTAAAAGTGCAACAACTTTCAAATCGCCACAAATATGCCATTGGTGCTCATCGTATTTTATGCATGTCAATAGGTACTTCATATTGTCATATGATTCTTTCATGTGAACTGCATACCCTACAGGAAGAGATGGTAAAATATTTCCAATATGCAATAACACTGCCTTTAAACTCAATGTTGAACTGTCTATAAACAATCTCCATTCGTCTGTGTTATAGTTTATATTTAAAGCCGCCAGTAAGCCGTTAATGTTACTGCAGAAAACCGTTATTCTCCATATTGAAAACTGGTTCTAAGTCTTTGTGGCGTTTACGAAAAACACATACCGAAACATCGTCTTCTAACAAGTTCCACTGCTGCAGTCTTGATCCAAGTAACTCTGCCTTACATTTTGGAAGTTCTAAATCTCTTACAAGATCATTTAATTCTGACTGTGTTATTTTGTGCGGTTGGTGGCATGACGTGCTCGGTATAAAAACAGGATCTCTTGACGTTGATGGCATATCTTCTTCCTGACGAATCACTCGATCGCCATGATCTGATTCGTTTTCTGATTCGCAAGTGTAGGATTCTGGGGGTTTTGGAATAGTATTTTCGTCACTGTGAGGCACAGTTCTCATCGCCGATGCTATGTTTGGGTAGTTAATAACCGATTTTTTTTTCTTGGACATACCTGTGGCTTGTCCAACACAAGGTACCATGCAAAAGTAACAATCATGAATTTGTAGGCTCTCACCAAACTATTGGGACAGCAAAGCGCATAGACCGTTTTTTGCCATTTAACCAGCTCCTCAGACTTGAAGCACATGTATTACAGCAGATGTGGGGTGCCCACTGTTTGTCTTGATCACCTAGTTTACAACCGAAATAAAGATGATATGCCTTTGTTATTAGTGGAGTAATAGACCGTCTCTGAGACGCAAAAGTCACATCACCACACACGTAACAAAACTGATCTGGATTGTTTACACACTTTCGAGACATATTGCATGAACGCTGTCAGCCAACTGAGGAAAAAATGGCTAATATAAAACAATATAACGTACACGTATGTATAACGTAACACAATCATGCCGATTACATCATCTTTCCTTGCCGAATATAAAAATGTAGCACGTGCATTCTTGTGAATTACAGTATATTAACACTGTCACAGCAGGAACACATATAATTACACCGTATCTCTAAAACTTGAACTAATATTGAAAAAATAAGTTTCATTCCGGTTTTAGCACATTAAAAATAGTAATATTTTGTTGATTTTATTTAGGATATTTTTTGGCTGTTGATCAGTGTTACAGTTGAATAGCAAATAGAACTTCATCAAAAAACTGCATAAATAAGCACTTTGAGTGTCCTAAATAACTAATTTTATTAGAGTAGTACCGCCGCTACTACATACACGTGCTAACTAGGTCGACATAATCACAAAATATCCACAATGCGTGTTGTAGGTACACTGCGGAAGCCTGATACACCGGACCGGTACAGATTTATACCAAATAAAATGTTTCATTTCACAAGCAGGGATTTTTAAATTTGCCTGGTACATATGGGTACCGTTCGGGACGAAAGGGTTAATGAAATTGTCAACATATGAAAAATAAGAATGTTATTACACAGATTTTTTTGATATTCTCGACCACTCTTGTGTGGAATCTTAGAGTTTTTTGTTTACTACTCCTATCGCTTATCTAAGTTGAGCAAATTTTTTGTGTTATTTATATGGTTATATGGTCTTAGGTTCGATCAGTTGTATCAGTCTTCTAATACATTAATTCCTAGAGAGTATTGTGGCTTCCACCAGTGAAAATTCACACTTAATAGAACTTTTTTTTTCAGAGAAAACCTTCTACCAAACAGACCCTAGTCAAGGCGTCTTGGAGCTGAAAGAAGAGAAAGACACGTTGATCGTGGCAGACAGCTCCGCCTCCACCACCGCCTTGAACATGATATCACTGGCTGCCCTAGTGCCTTTATTCATATAACTAGCCGCATGAGAGACACGCCAACAACGGTTATTCCAATTATAACCCTATCGTAAATATACAAGTCTGTGATAACTCCGAAAAATATTGGATACGGGGCGCAAAGCTGTCAACATTTTGTATGCTCTAACAGTTGCTCAGAAAGCTTGTAAAGTGATTGAATTATGATTTAAAGTTTAAGTATACAGCTTTACACCCTTTGCACTCATGAGCGTTGAAATTTCGTCAAGACGAGAGAAGAAAGGAACAGTTAATTATAGACCCAGTGCTTTTCAAAAATTCCCTCTACACTTATTTTCCAAACAATTGACGCACGATCCGATTTTCTAGCGTAAAAGCAGCGGTTGACATTTTCAAGATGGCGGCTAAGTGCTTTATTAAAAAAAATTTATTAGCTTGCCTGTATGCTTGTATGTATGTAGTTTTGTATGTACCGGAATCTTTGAGCATAATTTTCACCAGTTTCCAGAAGTTTGATTCGATGACACTGCAATAATTTGATAACAGTTTTCCATTATCGTTATTAGGACTGCCAGGATGGATACATTCTTTTTTAGATCCTCTGTAGGGAGTAAGAGAGATAGACTTACTCTTTGTTGGTTCGCGAACTCGGCACAGCACAACAGAGGCAGATATTTTTTCAATGTAGTGCATTCTCACCTTGTTCATTGCGAATGTTATCATTAATCCTACTTGATTGCTCTAAGTTAACAGGAATCACCCCATGCAACAGTGAAGCTTTAAATGAAATGATTAGATTACAAAATGATTTGTAAGACCTGTCAATATCACATTTCCACAAAAAACTAATTGATAAGTCAAGCTAAAAAATGAAAAATAAATAATAGTTTGAAAAAACTAAAAAAACACACTCTTTTATGTCTTAAATAGATCGGGATGTCACGTCATACCGCAATTTTCTTTATTAGTACTTCATAACTTTGGGATATACATCCACTTTCTTTCAAAATGGAGAGCTAACATATACATATAACTCCTCATATTTCCAAATTTAGTGCATATTCAGGTAGACTTCCAAGTTTCAAGATTGAATATCCCAAAAATGATCAAATTCAAAAGCCTTTCAGTAAGCTATTTTGAAAGGTATTGTACTTTATATTATGTGGTCATGAAAGTACTTCAAAATAAGGTATTACACGACCCCCGTTCCACTAAAAATATTGCCCAACCGCCGTCTTGAAGTTTCAACTTCTACTTTCGCGATAAAATAAGAAGTTTTCGATAAGCACTGCGGGTGGTTTAATTGAATTATGCCTCCGTCAGGTTGTATATTAAAGTCTTGTCGTTTACCTAAAAGGACTATTCGTAAACCGCTTCAAGTTTGAGCAAATACATTTTATTGAAGAGCAAAAGCTTTGCCAGATTTTTGGCACCATACTGCGTCTTGGCAGGCTTAGGTACTCGATGTTGAATCTCCTACACTTGTCAATGATTAGGTACCATAAATATAAAAAATTACTAAACATAAGCAATATGCCATATAACGAATACATGATCAGTACAGAGCAGATAAAAAGTCTGTACTTAAAGCCTGGCTTATTCATTAATTCATACTGACCATTAGCGAATTAGCGATTTGTGTAAGAATATGGCTTATACAAATCCAAAAAGGAATGTCTGCAAATCCTTTTGTGATTCGAATACTGTATATGACTGTATTGTAAAAGGGTTTGTATCGACATGTCCTCAAATGAGATCTAACTCTTAACACTGCCTGTTTGTGCAATTTTTATGGTGACGTTTTCAATCGGTGTTTTATATGTTTAGATATTATCAACTGTGTATATCAGCCAATTTAAATTCGTGAAGATGGTTAGTTTCGTTTCCTAAAAGTGGGAACCTGCCTTTTTAGGAACATCTATGCTTGAAATGACAAAGATAATGCAAGGGAAAACAGCAGCGAAAAAAGAATAAAACCTAAAAGCAGGGTTGGTGAAATTAATATTTTCTTTTGTTTCCGACAAATTTTTTGATTTTTAAAAAAGGTTAATTCAATCATGTTTTTTTAATATCCATTATTTTTGGCTAAATAATCGCTGCCTATGGTAGGTTTTGACAACCCCCTAACATTATGTTCGGTGTCGTCGAAGTAAATACTTCTTGTAGTACCCTCGTATCTCACCAAACCCACGAGTTCAAAGCGCGCACGCAGCGATGGAGACCTGCTGTTAAAAACCCTTGAGTTGTTGCAATGGAAATATACATTAAGTTGACACACATTGCGTACAATTTGTGTAGTTGTGTACCACCTATCCTTTACTATTTCAGAGCGTTGCAACGAGACCTGAAAATAATTACATAATCAGACGAACTTACCTGTAGGTGATGTTCGATCCTAATTATGTAAAACTTTAAGAAAATGAGCGTTTATAGGCGGCCAGAGAGGAGGAAGGTAGGGAGACGCGGTCAGCCACCTTCCTTCGCTGCGTACACGGTTGGAACTCGTGGGTTTGGTGAGATGCGAGGGTACTACAAGTAGTATTTACTTTGACGAGACATTCACATAATTACATGATCAGACGAACTTGCCTTTAAGTGATGTTCGATCCTAATTATGTAAAGGTACCATCGAAGTAAAGAGCTCCATCGCTCCCTATGTATCACCCAATTGTTGCCACAACTTGGCCTTGAAAAAAATAAGCGCTGACAGGCGGCCAGGTTTATAGAAGGTAGAGGGACGCGGTGAGCCACCTTCCTTCGCTGCGTGCACGGTTTGAACTCGTGGGTTTGGTGAGATACGAGGGTACTACAAGTGGTATTTACTTTGACGAGACATTCACATAATTACATGATCAGACGAACTTACCTGTAAGTGATGTTCGATCCTAATTATGTAAAGGTACCGTCGAAGTAAAGAGCTCCCTCGCTCCCTATCTATCACCCAATTGTTGCCACAACTTGGCCTTGAAGAAAATGAGCGTTTATAGGCGGCCAGAAAGGAGGAAGGTAGGGGGACGCGGTGAGCCACCTTCCTTCGCTGCGTGCATGGTTTGAACTCGTGGGTTTGGTGAGATACGAGGGTACTACAAGTAGTATTTACTTTGCCGAGACCTTCACATAATTAGGATCGAACATCACTTACAGGTAAGTTCGTTTGATCATGTAATCTTTTGCATTAACAACACTCCAGCTGACGTTCGATGCAACGCGTTCGCAGAAGAACCAAAAAGTTGTTACGATGAAAGTTGAATAAAAATAATGATTATCTCATTTTTGACATCAGTGAGCATTTTGGAGACTCGCAATGAGTATCCGGCTACAAACCTACTGCCTTTAATTAAATTTAAAGCCAAGAGTGATCCATTCAAACTAGTGAGTTCGCAGGTGAAATAATAAAAAATGTAAAACCAAGGGTGGAAATTACAGTTGTGCATGATCAACTAACGCCTATCTTCTACCAGTTGTTCACAGCTGTGACTTCCTCTGCATCTATAGAAAATTCTTTTCTACATTTGGTGACGACGAAATTGGTGTTTCTTTTCAGATATTATAACAAATAGTTGTTGATTTACTTTCTCATTCATTAATAGTTTACACAGTTCACTTTAATTTTATGTCGCTAATTTGATTAATGGACTTTTATGAAAAAATTCAACTTTGATTTAAATACTTATTTTTATCAAATAATCACGTCATAGAAATCATTGACTGAAATCACCTAAAAAGTGCGCACGCTCAAAGTGTGCCATTTATCTGTTTTTCAAATCGAATATGTGAATAAACAGATTGGTTTACCTACACAACGGGTCAAATACTGACACGCGTCATGTCTGGTGACCTCATCATCGGCTGGATGACACAGATGGATTTAGCCTCGAAGATTTTGAGTTTGACTAGAACGTCATATAAAGGAAAGTTCCCACTTTGAGAAAATACTGTATAAAAAATCACGGCTTGAAATTGGACGTTGATATACACCCACACAGAATAAACTACTCCTGAAAAATGAACGTAGTTTTAGAGAAAAAGTGTAAAATCTTTGTTACCAGTAGACATAGATTTGTAAGTAAGCTCAACGATTATTATCAAACATCTCAGAATACATTGTATTATTGTTCTTGCATTTGTATGATGAAAACGGATAATAATAAGCACTTAATTGTTTTATCGTGCTATTTTTAAATGCAAACGACAGAGCTTAAATGATAAAGATTCAATAATTTGATTTACTGTTAATTGCACAATACATACAGAACATCCTTGATGATTCTCCGAGTAAGTGGTTGCACGTACTTGCTAGTGAATATGTTTAGATGTTAATATCTGCGATTTATTTTAATATTATTCTGTTGTAAATATAATTTTCTGCAACTTAACTTCTGTATTTTTAAATTTATGTAATATTTCGTGACATTGTGAAAATTTTACTAGTCTGTAATAACAAATAAAAATAATCAAACTAATGAAGTTGCTTCATTTTTTCCTATTCCTTTCACTACATCTTGTAAAAATATATACAAATGTACTTCGGGGATTCCCATAAGGCGATAAGTACATAATGTCAAAAAAAAAACAGCATAATGTCAAGAAAATCGGGGGTAATGTCACTTTTCAAGATACGTGATATCCGTACAGCTCTCCTAGCACTGTCTTGACTAAGGCTATTCCTTGAGCAGCAATTTCTGCTTGGCGCTCTTAATACAGAAATAACTACAGGGTGTCCCAGAAATCGACGTCAAGCCGAAACCGGGTGATAGGCAAAGTCATAACAGCTATCAGAAAAATATTTAAAAAAATTTTAAGTATGTGTTTTGAAAATTATAGGTATTTGAAAAAGATATAGAAATTTCACACCCTACGGCAGTCTGTCAACTCCTGTTACTACAAATATTAACTCTTTTTGCATTTTATTTTTACAATGTAATGATGAATAATGCATCTTTAAACTGGTGTCTCAACCTAACTGCCAACTTTCCTCGTTCAGGAAAAATTGCCACTTATTTCCCAACCAAGTATTCCAAAGTAAAACTTTGCTCAACTTTAACTGGCTGTACTGGAAAAAATGTACTACGAGAGTTTGGCAAGTAACCTTAAAAGTTGGCGCATTTAATAACGATTCCAAAATGGTATAACACTTAGAAGATTACTCGTTAACTTATGCACAATTTTTATTTGAAAAAAAAACTGATCAAAATTTTTCAAAATTTCCTAATTAAACAGCGATTATGAAAACGCACAACGACCCTTAAGGATAACTGTTTGCACAACAGTGGGCGCCAAATGCTGCTGATGATGATTTACCTTTACAGCAAATGCTCAAACTGTTTTCCTTCAGCCGCAATACTCGCTCGACATCTTCTTAAAAAAGATCGGGTTATTAAACGAGCGAATCCACGGTTATTAACAAACTCAGCCGCTTCCAATAGTCTTTGTCATAGCTCAGCTACATTTCGAATCGGCTTGAAATACACTTTTTCTTTTACAGTTCCCCAGTAAAAAAATCTAAAGGATTCAAATCAGGTGATCGGGCTGGCCACGGTATTGTACAGCCTTATCCATCTGCCTGGAAAGTTTTGATCGAGATACTCTCTCACTGAGAGTGCATAGTGCGCTGGGCAGCCATCATGCTGAAACCACATGTCCCTGTAAATACTCAGTGGCATGTCCACCAATAAATTTTGTACATGATTTTTCAAAAAATCCAAATAAACTTCAGCAGTCAAAGTCTCTGGGAACTCAAACGGACCGATTATTTTACCATTTAAAATTCCTGTCCAATGGTTTATCTAGAAGCGATATTGAGATTTATCTTCTCTCATCAAATGTGGGTTTGCTACGTGCCACTCGTGTAAGTTATGCAGGTTCATGTACCCATCTTTCTTAAATGTGGTCTCATCCGACCATAATTTTTTTTTAAAGAACTGTGGATCTTTCCTGTGTCTTTCTAGCATTGTGCGACAAAAAGCAACTCGGGGCTCATAATCCCGGGGCAGGAGAGGTTGAACACGCTGTATGTGGTATGGATGAAGCACATCACTTACTTGCTATTGCACACTTTGATACCGATCAGTACTCCTTCGTTAACTGCGCATCTTTACATATTCGTGCTTGTTGATTTCGTACTGTTACTAATTTTGGATTCGTGAACTGGACTGTTGATCGCTTGTGATTTGGATTTGGACTGTTTAATTGCTCTTCAAAACAACATTTGCTTTCCTTAGACTATCTTTGATAGTGTGATTGTGCAGTGCCGCTATGTCCGTGTACACCGTACAAGAATATGCTAACATGCACCTCATTTATGGGGAATGCAGATGCAACGCTCGTGCTGCAGCGAGACTTTACTGTGAGAGGTACCCGAATGCAGCTCATCATCCAGATCATCGAGTGTTCACAAATGTGCACCGCTTACTGTTCTCAGAGGGCCAACTACCAAACCAATCACACAGTGAGGGAAGATCTTTCCTTCCTTACGAAGACGTGGTGCTAGGAGCTGTTGAAGAAGACCCGAGTACTTCAGTGCGTGCAATAGAACTAAAAACAGGTGTGCCCAAAAGTACAGCCCATAGAATCTTGCAAAAAAACGTGCTCCATCCATACCACGTACAGCGTGTTCAAGCTCTTCTGCCGCGGGATTATGAGCCCCGAGTTGCTTTTTGTCGCACAATGTTAGAAAGACACAGGGAAGATCCACGGTTCTTTGAAAAAATTTTATGGTCAGATGAGACCACATTTAAGACAGATGGGTACATGAACTTGCATAACTTACACGAGTGGCACGTAACAAACCCACATTTGATGAGAGAAGATAAATCTCAATATCGCTTCAAGATAAACCATTGGACAGGAATTTTAAATGGTAAAATAATCGGTCCGTTTGAGTTCCCAGAGACTTTGACTGCTGAGGTTTATTTAGGTTTTTTGCAAAATCATTTAGAAAATTTATTGGAGGACGTGCCACTGAGTATTTACAGGGACATGTGGTTTCAGCATGATGCCCAGCGCACTATGCACTCTCAGTGAGAGAGTATCTCGATTAAAACTTTCCAGGCAGATGGATAGGGCGGTCTGGTACAATACCGTGGCCAGCCCGGTCACCAGATTTGAATCCGTTAGATTTTTTTTACTGGGGAACTGTAAAAGAAAAAGTGTATTTCAAGCCGATTCAAAATGTAGCTGAGCTACGGCAAAGACTATTGGAAGCAGCAGAGTTTGTTAATAACCGTGGATTCGCTCGTTTAATAACCCGATCTTTTTTAAGAAGATGTCGAGCGTGTATTGCGGCTGAAGGAAAACAGTTTGAGCATTTGCTGTAAAGGTAAATCATCATCAGCAGCATTTTGACGCCCACTGTTGTGCAAACAGTTATCCTTAAGGGTCGTTGTGCGTTTTCATAATCGCTGTTTAATTAGGAAATTTTGAAAAATTTTCATCAGTTTCTCTTCAAATAAAAATTGTGCATAAGTTAACGAGTAATCTTCTAAGTGTTATACCATTTTAGAATCCTTATTAAATGCGCCAACTTTTAAGGTTACTTGCCAAACTCTCGTAGTACATTTTTTTCCAGTACAGCCAGTTAAAGTTGAGCAAAGTTTTATCCCTATGCCTATCACCCGGTTTCGGCTTGACGTCGACTTCTGGGACACCCTGTATATCATTTGTCGATAAGTAGATACAAATATAGAAATTCAATGGTTATTGAATTGAGCTCTACCTAATATACGCACAGGCAACCATGAATAATTGATTCACTACCAATTTCAGTCTTCTAAAGGTCGAGGTCGAACGATTCAGCTGAAAAAATGCTTCAAACAAAAAAGTGTATTCAATAAGAGAGGTTTCATATTCAGACACGGAAATGCCATTTTCATAATTAAAAAACAACTGCCAGAGGAATGCATGTTTAGAAAAGACATCAGCGTCTCTTTTCACTACGATTGCGTAACTTGTTTTGGCAATAAAAATAGACATATTTTCAGATAACGTATACATACAGGGTGATTCACAAGTCGTGACCAAAAATGAAACACCATACACATGATCGCATTTTAACGGGGGACATCTGTGTAACATTTTTTTCTCAGGGGCCTCATTAAAAAGATACGGGGTGTTGAAGCTTAAAAATAAAAAACAATTTTTTCAATATCTTCAAAACTGTAAACTGGTATGAATTGAAATTTGGTACGTGGATTTACCCAAGTGTTGTCCACATTTAAACGTGTTTACTTAAAATTAACGTGCACCAGTGGAGGAGATACAGGAGATTTGGAGAAAATAGTACGCCACTGTTTTTCTCCAAAACACTCTAGGAAAAAACACAAGAGCAATTATTTGTAGCAAATTGAAGGTGAAATTAAAAAAAATGCGCTTTTGGAAAAAAACAGTGGCGTACTATTTTTATTTGGAAAAACGATGCCACTAATTATCTGAATTCCCGCCTCTGGTGCGCGTTAGTTTTAAGTAAAGACTTTTGAATGGGGGAAATCCTTTGGTAAATCCACATACAAAATTTTAGATCATTCCAGTTGACAGTTTTGACGATACAGGCACGTAGCCAGGGGGGGCTCAGGGGGCTTAAGCCCCACCGGAAATTCCGAAAGAAATTTTTTTCAGATTTAAACATAAAAGACAAACTGAGAAAATTCAAGTGATCTAAATCATGTTATGTAAATATACTAAGTGACATATAAATCCGAACACCCAGTTTAAATGGTTTTATTTTAATAAAAGTTGGTGAATGTATTTATCTTACTGTAAATAACAAGTGAAAAAATTTTCAGCCTTATCAGTTGGACATTCCGGTATTTATACTGCTTTCTTTTAATTCACTAACGCTCTAAAAATGAATATTTCAGCCGCAGTAAAGAATCAACGTTGGCGGATTTTGGTTCTTGACATCCTTTACGATCGGTTACGATGCCTAGAGTACGGAGACCTGTACGATTTCGTCAACTTAGTGAGTTTGATAGGGGCCCTATAGTGGGACTTCGGGAAGCTGGACTTTCTTTTCGGGCAATTGCAGTTAGAGTGCAAAGAAGTGTAGACACTGTGGTTAGGTGTTGTCAGGCATGGCTTCGAGAAGGCCGTACGCAAAGAGCAAGGGGAACTGGACGCCGTCGTAGAACAACAGACCGTGAAGACCGCCGCCTAAGATTATTGGCCTTAAGGGACCGTTTCTCCACTACCAGGTCCATTGCAAATGAATGGTTTGCAGAACACGGAAGATCTATTGGCATGCGAAGTGTTTACCGATGAATAATGAGAAGTTTTGGCTTGTTTTCATACCGGCCACACTGGGTCCTCCCTTTAACTCGAGAACACCGACGTAATTGCCTTGAGTGGTGCAGACAACGGTCACTCTGGAATCAGGAATGGAGCAGTATTGTCTTTAGTGCCGAGTCTCGATTTTGTTTAGACATGCACGATGGTCGTGCCAGGGTTAGAAGGCGACGTGGTGAAA